ACGCGCAGGCTCAGCAGCCATGGCTCACGGGCCCAGCCGCTCCGCGGCATGTGGGATCTTCCCGGACCGGGGTACGAACCCGTGTCCCCCGCATCGGCAGGCGGACCCTCAACCACTGCACCACCAGGGAAGCCCCTGCCTCCTCTTTTTGTAGTGGTGGTGGACGGACACCGGATGGACAGGCTGGTTGAGGCTCCCTGCAGAATCCCTCACGCCCCAGCACGTAATCCTCCTGGCCTCATGACCACATGGCCTCCAAGGTCCCTTTTTTTTTTTCTCCCCAACTGAACTGATCTCTGAAGGTTTGCTCCAGTTCTGACATTTTATGGTTCTGTTAATTGAATCTTTATAATCTGTGCTCTGGGAGGCCACAAGCCAATTTTTGTGCTGTCACTCCTACTTCCAGAGGCTGGCCACTGGTACTCATAGAATTGATTGCATCACTTCCTGCCTGACCAAACTACTTAGCCCTGACTCTAAGACTCAGACTCTCATTTCTGTGACAGAGGCTTTCAATGCATGTTGATTCTCTTCTCCTTCCTTCCAAACCACAGCTTTTCCAGAACCTGCCTTCTTCTACCACCAGAGTATATCTTACCCGTATCTTTTTTTTTTTCATTGTCGTTGTTGACGTTAGTAATGAATGAATGACAGGATTGATTTTTATCCATTGAAATTCAATATTAGTGCCTTGGCTCAAAGGATTCATTTTATGGTAGAATTTTAAGACTCTTCCTTTCTTTGGTGAGATGGGAAGTTTGGGAGGTAATGAGGCAGGCAGGCTCTTAAACTTCTCTGTCTAGACTAGGGATCAGCAAACTTTTTCTGTAAAGGGCCAGATAGTAAATATTTTAGGCTTTGTGGGCCATCTGGCTTATGTCACAACTGCTCACCTCTGCAGTTGTTGCATGAAGGCAGCCCTAGACAATACAGAAATAAAGGATCGTGGCTGGATTTCAGTAAAGCTTTATTTACAGAAAAGGTGATTGGCTGAATTTGACTGGTGGGGCCTTAATTTGCCAGCCCCCTGGTCTAGACACTGTTAACCAGTTTGGTAACTCCAAATCTGGCTACATCAGAATCTCTTAGAGATTGTTACACGTTCAGAATCTTAGGAATCTTAGGTTCTCAAGAACCTAAGTACCTTGTTACCCCAGCAGTCAGTGTTCACAATCCAAGGTACAATTCCCATTCGTTTCTAGATAAAGAAGAAAAAACTTTGGGTATGGTTATTTTAGTCTTAAGAACTGCCAGAGATTCTGCACTATTTAATTGTCTGGTAGTTTTCTAAAAGGGAAAAATAGTTGAAAAGATTGTTTATGTGCTTGAAATGAAGGACTTGCCCTTTCAGACTAAATAGTTACCAGGAAATGGTATTTACCAGGTGGCAGCAGAAAAGCTAAACATTTTGTCTTACCTTCTCGTGCAGTGAAACATGACTGGGAGAGAATGACAGAAGCTGTCCAGAATCACATTGGCTCTCTGAACTGGGGCTACCGTGTGGCTCTGCGGGAGAAAAAGGTCATCTATGAGAACGCATATGGGCAGTTTGTTGGGCCTCATAAGATTAAGGTAACCATGTGACAGTGTAAGTAGCTGTTTTTGGTGTGTTTTTAAGCTTTTGTTGGGGGAGGAAAAGAGAAGGTGATTATCCTAATAAAAGTGATAGCCACTGTGACCCAGACCATCGAGTTTGGTGATTTTGCAGTCACTTCTTAGGGACTTTCTCTTGTGGTGTCGTAAAGGGTAATCTGGATTTGGGGCCACATTAGCTGGATTTGAGTCTTGGCTCTGTCGCTTCCTAGCATTGGGACTGAGCGATCCCTTAACTACTCCAAGTCTTAGTATCTCTTTCTTACTGCATTAGCAAATTTTTATGAGGATCAAATTGGGCAATGTGGTAAAACAGCCTTTTTAATTATAATGTTTACAATTCTAAAGGATAATAATTTATTAAAAATTGATATATTGGTTCCTTCGTAGGCAACAAACAACAAAGGCAAAGAGAAGATTTATTCTGCAGAGAGATTTCTCATTGCCACTGGTGAAAGGCCACGTTATTTGGGTATCCCTGGTGACAAAGAATACTGCATCAGCAGGTAAGGACAAATTGCAGAGAGAAAAGGGGATTTTTGCTTTTTCTTTTTTCTTCAAACCCATTTACTCCTTTTCCTGAAACTTAGTTTTTCCACCACATTTTTTAGTTTTTCCACCACATTTTTGTCCAGAGGGACAGGGAGTTAGGAAAAAGAGAAACGAAAAACTATTTTAAACCAGAGAACATTAAAATTCAGAACTATAAACATTGGTCATCTTATCACCAAGAGTTAATATTGCTGCTAACATATAGATGCATGCTTACAATATTTATATTTGAAATTTATATTTGTGTGAGTATATGTTATATGTGTATACTATATAAACCCAGATGGATATTCACATTTTATAAAATAATTGATAGATACGTTTTTGTTTTTTCAAAACTAGAATCACACATTACCTTTATGTAGATACTAAAAAAATTAGAGGATAGCAGGCCATTTAGTTTTCTCAAATCCTAGTTTTGCCTTACTCTTTTGCCATTTGTATGGTTGCATTGTCAGTGTAGAGGGACCTTCTGAAATCAGTGAGTCAAGCAAGAAGGTTTTGGTGTGTGGTTTATTTTTGTCCATCAAGTGATAATACTGGTGACATTATTGTTCAGGAGTTTTGAATTATAAAGTCATTAAGACATTGTTGATAAGTATGTCTTCTTGGATGCTTTTTGCCCAGGAGTTTCTGGTTTTCTGATGCTGTTATAAATCACTTGTTTTCAGGCTTTTTCTTTTTCTTTTTTTTGTAACAGGAGTTTATCCTTTGAACCTCATGGGGGGGGGCAGCTCAGATGACAACTCTTGTCATTGCTATCTTGGATGGGCTCCCTTCTCATATTTAAAAAAACTTATCTCCTAACAATGCTTTTATGATCTCTTACGTCTTGTATCTTCCTCACTGTGCTAGAAGATTCTGTCAGGTTTTACTTTTTACAGTTGGTTTTCATATTATAAAACCCATATGTTGAAAGTTTTTCCTCACCTCTCTCCCCACTCTTTTTTTTTTTTTTAATACTTATTTATTTATTTGGCTGTGCTGGGTCTTAGTTGCTGCATGTGGGATCTTTTGGATGCGGCATGCGGGATCTAGTTCCCTGACCAGGGATCGAACCCGGTCCCGCTGCATTGGGAGTGCGGAGTCTTAACCGCTGGACCAGCAGGGAAGTCCCTCTCTCCCCCGCTTGATAATTGGTGTTGTAGGTGAGGGGAAGTAACACTGGGTTTGTACCTCAGGGAGAGCTGAGTGGTGGGAGGAGGGTGGGAGTTTGGGTTTGCAAATGTATGGTTGTAAACACGTATGTGGAGAATTATTCTGGATAGTACAGAATAAATGTGTTTGACTGGGAGTTGGGCTAATGTCAGAGTTGTATGGTTTACTGTGCTCAGCCACGGTAGCTCGAGCTGCTTCCAGAGCAGCTGAGTGGCAAGAAAAGAGAATGTCTAAGACCTTATAAAAACTTCTCAAATATTATGTGTGTAGCTAATTGAATGTTTTTAATCTTAAAAGTGTCTTGTTCTTAGGAAAGTAAAAAGGTCTACTTTGATATGGTCATTATTCACATATGAACATTTTTCTCTTCTTTCTTTTCTTCCTTTTAAAAAAAATTTTTTTTTTTCAGTGATGATCTGTTCTCTTTACCCTATTGCCCGGGTAAGACCCTGGTGGTTGGAGCATCCTACGTTGCTTTGGAATGTGCTGGATTTCTTGCTGGCATTGGTTTAGATGTCACTGTTATGGTACGGTCCATTCTCCTAAGAGGATTTGACCAGGACATGGCCAACAAAATCGGTGAACATATGGAAGAACATGGTATCAAGTTTATAAGACAGTTTGTACCAATAAAAGTAAGTGGGGTTGCCTATATGTTTGTTGATTCTATACTCATGTTAAAAGGCAAGAGAAGAGAGTTGGGGTGAGTGATAGAAGCCTCCTTTCAGCATTATAAACCATTCGGAATGCTGTAATTCCTCAACTTGTGTGATTTAGGTGTATAAACTGGTACTTTCCTACCACCTAAATAGCTTTGTTCTTGTTTGCAGATTAATAATTTCCTTCCCTTCTCAACTTTACCACCTTTATTAGTTCTCTTCTGCTTAATGCTTTCCTTTATGCGTTCCATTATTTTATTATCTTTGGTCTCTTATACTTGTTTCGTTCTACATACCAGTTATTTAAATAAGAGTTTAAGATGACTGATTTTTTTTTTTTTTTTTCTTTCAAAAGACATTTCTACTTTGTATACAGTATAGTCCACAAAGGCACTGTATTATTCTGGCCTCCCTGGAAATGATTATCTAATTTTGTTATGTGGGCTGGCCTTTTTTGCTCATTTAATCTTCTTTTGAAAATGCTGAATAATATGCCAAGTTATATTTGAGACTTGTTAACATTACCACAAATGTTTTGATACATAAGAGTGGCAAAATCGATCACTTTGCATACCTCAAAGTTACAGTTTCCTTTAAGGCAAGTAAGGATGGGACCGTTGGTTAAAATTAAGGAATTTTAGCTGTCATTTTAAAAATTGCTTATTGGGTTAATAACATAGGTTTTTTGTGGGACCATGAAGCTCTTGATGCTGATAATCTCTTGATGAGCATATGGGCATCGGAATGACTTGGGTTCAAACTCTATTCTCCCAGTTTCTTGCTGTTGTGACTCTGGGAGAATTACTTAACTTCTCTGGGCCTCAGTTTCTTCTGTAAAATGATGATAATTGATAGCACCTATCTTAGAGTTCTCATGAAGATTGCGTTAGCATTACGACGATGATTAGAAAACGACAGCTGTATGTATATGCTATACTGATAGAAAAGTGGCATCTTCCTTTATAGTATCTTAACATTTTGGGCATTGTAGGCCCTTTGAGAATGTGGTGGACTATCCCTAGTGAAATAAGCTTGTGTCTGTGTACATAATATCTTGCTGGGGTTACCAGGGTGTCCCTGATCCCCGTAGGCAGGTGGTGAACGCTGGCTGTATAAAGTGACCCAGTGGACGAAGCCTTCTGTGGAGAGGAGGGAGAGAGAATGCATTTTAGGCAAGAATATAGCATGTGTGCAAAAAGGCCATGGGGAATGAAATTGTTCTAAAGGCAGAAAATGTGCTAGTTACAGGAAAGGCCTGACTGGAACACAGAAGTGAGTGAGGCAGAAAGGAATTTGAGGGAGGGATGAGGCCTTTAATATTTTTAAGCAAATCTAAGCCATGGACCAATTCAACGCTTCTCCAAAAATTAGAATATTTTAATTTAAACGGAAAGACATTGCCAGTATGTTCAAAGGGGCTTAACTACGTAAGAAAGGAAGGGAATTTTAGAAGGGAATCTTTACTATTTGTTGATGTTGAAAATAAAATTAGCGCTTCACAGTTTTCCCATACAGAGTGTATTGTATTTTAAAGGTAGGGTAGAAATTGCAGTTGATTTTATGGGTCTCTTCAGTAAGTATGATACAGAAACCCATGATTTGCCCGTTGACATCTATGTGTAGTAGGTTAATATGTTCAGACTCATTTGCCAGAGCACAGGTACCAGGGCTTGCTCATCATTCCTACGTCCTCACCTGAAGACAACCCCTGGTTATGACAAGCACACATACCTCCTCACCCACTATGATTTTTAGGGCTTTCTAGCTCTTATCTGTATCGTGATTGATCTATTTCCATCTTTGTTGACAAAGCTGAACATATGTAGTCAAAAGGGAATCTACGAATGTGAGCAGCATGGGATTAATGGTTCTGGGTGAGTCATAAGATAGGAGCCTGGCAGAAGCAGTTAAATCATTGGTTTAATTTTAGAGATTGTAGTGTACTTTCTCTGGCTTTCTCCTTTCCTGCTTTCTCTCTGAATTTTATTCCATTTAAGAACTATTTGAAGGAAAGCCCCTCTAGCAAACATTAAGCAGTGAGAAAGAAGGAAATACATAAAAGAACCACATGTCATCCTAAAGATGTTAATGCGAGGGAGGTGGGACATAAAAGACCTTCCAAGCCAAATTTCATGTTTCAAGTTTGGGTTAACCAGATAGAAGGAGAGGACGTAATTAGCCATCTTGATACTGATACATGTCTTTATCGTGGAGTAAAACTTTATCACTTTTGTAGGTTGAACAGATTGAAGCAGGGACACCAGGCCGACTCAGGGTGGTAGCTACGTCCACTGAGAGTGACATAACCATCGAAGGAGAGTATAACACGGTAAGGAATGGACCTCGGTCCTACTTCATTAGAAAACAAATAGTGTGCTCACTGGATGTTTGCTGGGTTGCTAGTTCCAAAACCCTTGGTTCTGTTCCTATTCTAAGACACCTTTATTACTTATGATATTATAATTTGTTTTGGTACAGGGATGGATTCAAATATTCTCCACTATAACTTAAATACTGTTTATCAGATGGCTATTAAAAGGTATCAACATTTAAAAATGAGCTAGAATTTCTCTGCTCCATGTTCTTTCATTTTCTCAGCCCACCACTTTAAAAAAATAACTTATTTCAGTCATAGGCTATGCTGTCTTTGTCGCTATACTTGGCTAGACTTATTAAGGAATTGTTAACTCCCTTTTTCTTAACAAGAAATGGGTAAGGCTTTTTACCATATCATGTTTAGAAGATTTAATTTAAATGATTTTGATTTGTTTAAACTCTTGCATTATTATCGTAATAGAAAATGTCTTTCCAGGTCTGGAAAATGAATCACATCTCCTTAATAAACAGAAAAAAATATGATTAAATAACTCATGCATAGCCTTTCTACTAACAGTCACTATATATTAATAATTTTTCAGGTATTGCTGGCAATAGGAAGAGATGCTTGCACAAGGGAAATTGGCTTAGAAAACGTGGGGGTAAAGTTAAATGAACAGTAAGAAAAAATCTTTATAATGTTTTATTAAGTACTATTTCAGCTATTTATAAGATCGATTAATACTAGAGTTTTAGATTTTAAAGTTAGTTTTTACCATAGTTGGAGCGTTCCCTTTTTAAGCTTAGAAGACTCTTCTTTCAGTGCCAATCATGATATTTCCTGTTTGTCTTTTTTTTTTCTTTTTTTTTTTTCCCTTTTCAAAATCTAAATGAGAGATACACTGGCTTGCATTTTGTTTCTTCAATGTATATATGTACAGAAAAAGATCCAACTTCCCAGTGAATTGCAGGTATATACTTTGAAAGCTTCACTGAATATGCAGATCTGAACCATGTTCAAAGCTACCAAGTTTTAGGATCACTAGAGTGGTCGCTACATTTCTAATGACAGCCATGAGTCTGAAAAACTTTGATGTTTTATAAGTTAAAATCCCTTTGGACTATACCACTGCACTGGGTAATTGAGACTCTGTTGTCTGCTTACAGGAGTAGCATGGGGTATTTCCCAGTATCACCCTTCTTATATCCAAGTGAAAACAAGTGCTCTGAGAGGCTAGCTGCCTTGGAAATTGAAAATACAGGGTGCCCCCTCTACCCCCTTCCAGGAATAACATTTATACAGAAGAGATTTCTTAATCTTAGTGTGAGCATTTTTGCTTTATTATTTTCTTTCCCTTTGGCTTGGAGAGACAAAGGAGTTGAGGAGGTCTGATAAGATTTAGCAGACCAAGTGTTCCACCATTTTAATAACCTACTCGCCTGTTTCCAACTGGGGCCAAGGTTTAGATTTTGTATAATGTTAACAGCTAATACTTATTCTGTAATTACTGGGCTCCATGGACTACTGTGCTTAATATTTTATACACATTCTCATTCAGCCCTCACAACCCCTTAAGGTAGATGATGGTATTCTTTTTCTTCTCGCCAATTATTCCCATTATCATTATTCCCATTTGATAGGTGGGAAAATGAGGCTTAGCGATGTTAAATAGCCCTCCCAACATCATAGAGGTAATAACTAACAGACCTGGTTATCACACTTTAGAATCCTCATTCATTCTTAACCAGTGTGTTCTACTTTTCCCATCCCAGGGTTTCTTACAGTTTTCTTATTCTTTTGATTTTCAGAATAGCTAGAATCTCTAAGCTTTTGCTTCCTCTGAGTTTTGTTGTTGTTTTGGTAATGAGAACATTGCCCTCAGTTAGAGCCACAGTTTTGGGCTTCTTTGGGAGAAAGGGGATTTTGATCTACTTACTGAATAGTGGTAATTGATGATGATTTTAACTGAATGAATTTGCAGGACTGGAAAAATACCTGTCACGGATGAAGAGCAGACCAGCGTGCCTTACATCTATGCCATTGGCGATGTGTTAGAGGGGAAGCTGGAGCTCACCCCAGTGGCAATCCAGGCAGGAAGGTTGCTGGCGCGGAGGCTGTACGGGAGCTCCACTGTCAAGGTGAGTGTTGGGGCTGTCACCACGGACATGCTGTTGTAATGGTACCTCCCGGTGCTCTGTGTAGGGTGGTTGTGAAGTTTTCCAGGTCTTGAATAATTTAGTTATTTTGATGATGGCATCCTAGGTGTGCTTTATTAACTCTATTCCAGACAAGACATTGTTAAGACCACTGTACCTTTGTGATTTATTATGGAAATTGTCACTCTTAGAATCACACTAAGAATAAAATGAGCCTGGTTAATCAAGTTACAGCACTATTATGTTCCATATACTCCTAATAGTTGCACTTTACATCAATTTCATTATTACCAATTTGAGTTATAATTTTCTAAATCTTTTTATGGCCCCTGTCTAGGCTGCAAAAGGATATGGGGATCTAGGTGGTAATGTCAATGTGCAGAGCTATTTAAACCAATATTCAGGCTTTATTTCCCTGTCCTTTCTAAAAACAGATCTTCTGCTCTTGGAATGTTGAATGTGTAAGTGATTTTAAAAGTCATTGCAGGAAATGGAAACTCTTGGTTGTGTCTCATGGGACTAGATGACAAGAAAAGAATAAATATGCTCTAATTTTTTTAAGACTTTTTAAAGAACAGTTTTAGGTTCCCAGCAAAATTTAGAGGACGGTATAGAGGTTTCCCTTATATCCATCCCCTACCCATTACCAACGTTCCTTCCCTAACTATTTTTTTAAAAGGATTCTAGAAATATCGATTGTAAAGAATTTAGTCACTACCCATTTTCCTTGTGCATAAATCATCATGGGTTGATTTAGTTTGGTTACAGCAACTGAAACTTCAAAGAATACTGCTAGTAGAATTTGTGACAAGCATTTTGAATGTACCTGGGGTTGCTTTGGATTGTAGCATGATAAAATCTTATGTTTTGAGGATAACAGGATTGAGGTTAAAAAGGGTTTTTAATCCAGGGTTGTCTGATCATCCAGGGAATAGTAGTTGGTTCATATCACTGTTGTTTTTTTCTTTTTTTTGCGGTACGCGGGCCTCTCACCGCTGCGGCCTCTTCTGCCGCGGAGCACAGGCTCCGGACGGTCAGACCCAGCGGCCACGGCTCACGGGCCCAGCCGCTCCGTGGCATGTGGGATCCTCCCAGACCAGGGCACGAACCCACGCCCCCCGCATCGGCAGGTGGACCCTCAACTCCTGCGCCACCAGGGAAGCCCCCATATCACTATTTGAAATAAACTTATCTACCTCTTTAACTGTTGGAGTTTCTGAGTAATGGTGAACCAAGAAAGGGGTATTCAGAAATAAAATGTGAGGTGCATTTGTTTTTGACCTTGAGTCCTTGTGATTTCCTAAAATGGAAAGAGATTTTTTTTATACCAATAATAACCAGAGGGCAAATATACAAAAATTTGGTACTAAGTAAATTTAAAATTATTGTAGCACAGAATTCCTTAAAAAAAAAAAATAGTGAATCCACTTACTTTGGACATATTCTTCTGTGTGTGAGAATAGTACTATATTCTAGCATCTGCCAGGTAGAGCAAATTCTTAAAGTGCCTTAAGCTTTTATCAGCATCAGAATTTAATGTAAATTGAAATTAAAGGACTCTTTTTTTGTTGTTCGTTCTTTTTCCCCCGTTTTTAGTCTAACTAATATGACAAGTGCTTTACCGAACAGGAAAATAAACAGGTGGTGCTAAGTCCCTGAGTTTGAAATCTCACCAGTCTGTCCTTCAAATATAGTAAACAAAGCTGAAATGCTAATAGATATCTAGGTTAATTGTATTTGGGGAAATTACACAGTTTTGTTTTGTTTTTAAACAACTGCATAATCCTTTTAATTTTGCTCAGTATGCATTAATAGAACATTCCCACATATCTGAGAACGTCAGAGGATCCACATCTGCCTTCCTTCCTTCCTTCCTTCCGTCCTTTTTTTTTTTGCGTTATGTGGGCCTCCCACTGCCGTGGCCTCTCCCGCCGCGGAGCACAGGCTCCGGACGCACAGGCCCAGCGGCCATGGCTCACGGGCCCAGCCGCTCCACGGCATGTGGGATCCTCCTGTTCCGGGGCACGAGCCCGCATCCCCTGCATCGGCAGGCGGACTCTCAACCACTGCGCCACCAGGGAAGCCCCCTTCCTTCTTTTTAAGGGAGCAGCTCTCTGTTGAAAAATTCAGCTTAACATAAACACCTGCCTAAATTAAATCTGTTATGGGATTTTAAGAGAACCCAATTGAATCATGGGTGTTTGTGCCTTCCCTCAAAATTGATAACATATTCATTGCTTCATAAGAGTGTTGGGAGGAAAGGGGACAGAGAGCGGCTATGTTTGACGTGCTTGGCACTGTGCTAATAAGTGCTGTATACACATACCTCGTTCCACCTTAGGGCAGCTGTGGAAAATGATGACATCTTACAGGAAATTAGGTAATTGTCCAAGGTCACAATGCTTGGAGGTAGCCAAGGCATAAATCCAATCCACATCTGATTGTAGGTACTGCTGTCTTAACCATGAAAATGTATCGCCTAAGAGATAAGGAAGATTTGGGAAGTATGGATTATAAAACGTGCTGAGGATAGAGCAGATGTCTCAAGACTTAAAGAATCCACCACCAAGTACAGAGGTGCTTCTACTAAATAAAATGAAGTGGAAAATAATATTGGAAAAATTTAAATGAATCTTTTTTAACAAGATGATTAAAGTCATTTTCAAAGCTGCTAAAAATATTTGCCACTAAAAATATTTGCCACTAAATATTCTGTTATTTTGGGAACATACATAAATGAAGGAGTGAGAAAAAATGTTTTTATCATTTCAAAAACAGAACGGATCATAAAGCTGAGTCAGCCTGTAGATGATGGACATTCCACTAAGCTCTTTAAAAAGCCAGTTGATAAGGCACATGTACCAGCTTTAGAACCCAGTGTGATGGGCACTCCAGCTGTCATCTCCAAGGACCAGTAGTTATCTCTTGGATCGTTTTAGAATTGCTCTCAAACACTTGAAATACTTTTATTTTCACAAACAGCAAATGTTAGCATCTTTTTTTTGTTTTGTTTTGTTTTGTTTTTTGTGGTACGCAGGCCTCTCACTGCTGTTGCCTATCCCGTTGTGGAGCACAGGCTCCGCGGCCATGGCTCACGGGCCTAGCTGCTCCGCGGCATGTGGGATCTTCCCGGACCGGGGCATGAACCCGCGTCCCCTGCATCGGCAGGCGGACTCCCAACCACTGCGCCACCAGGGAAGCCCAGATTTTCTTTTTAATCACTGTTTTTTAGCATTTTGATATTTGCATGTTTTGGCATTCTGCTGGTGGTGTGTAGAGATTTGGGGTTTATCTGTTCATAGTTTTCATCAAATGTGGAAATTTTTTAGCCATTCAAATTTTCTGCTTTCCCCCTCTTTTTTTCCCTCTCAACCTCACATTAATGAATGTTGGTTCCCTCAGTGGGTCTCTAATGCTCTGTTCATGTTTTTTCCTCCCTGTTTCTGTGCTTTATTTTTTTAGAGAGCCTATTGCAATGTCTTCAAGCCCACTGATCTTTTCTTTTGCACTGTCTTGGGATATAAATCCCATTCTGTGTAGTTTGCACTTCAAGCAGTTTCTTTCATCTCTACGAGTTTTACTTATTTAAAATATATTTTCCTTTTCTCTCCTCAGCGGATTCCTATTTTTCACCAGTTTCTTGAGTCTACAGAACACATTTATAATAGCTCCTTTAAAAAAAAAAATTATGGGCTTCCCTGGTGGCGCAGTGGTTGAGAGTCCGCCTGCCGATGCAGGGGACACGGG